ATGGGGTGCCCCCGACTATTGGGCATACTGGACATCCGATATGCTTGCCCCTCCGGTAAACAGATATATTTTTTCAATTTTATGAAGGGGATTATTGGCTCATCTAGCAATTTTTAGCTGGCATCTACTGTGTCGGTCGTTATGTCGTTGGGATTCACAGCCAAGTATGTATTAACGCCAAATAAGGTTTGTTGAATAGGGCTAATTGGTAATAGGTCTACTTTGCCAATCGTTTTCTGCGGGTTCTTGATCTGTTCAGTTGTTATTACACTCACTGGTAAAATTGGTGCCCGATAGTAAGACTCTAATTATCTGATTAACGGAATGACAAAGGATTGTTAGCTAATTTTCCATTTTCAAGTTCCATCCCATACCCAGTCGTCGTTCGAGGTATCTTTGGCATGTACGGTTCTATGCCTGCTATCTTGCTTCGTGGTTTCGTCGCACTCATGTGGACTGCTATTCTTTGGTATGTAGCTAGATATAAGATGATTTCAGGTGATATTCTAACGATTGAGAATGAATAGTGTACAAGCCGCGGATTTTCTCCGAAACTGCATTACAGCGATATGGCCAAGCTTTGCAAATTTCCCAAATCACCTCCCCGACTCAGTTGGTATCGATTCGGCCGGCATGCTTTGTTTCTTCTTGTACTGGATTGTTCAAACCATTCTCTCTCTTATGCGTATCGAGAAATTGAGAATCCTCTTCCTCATCAAGGCCGTTGTTGTCCCACCAACTTTCCTTGCACTTTTCTTATGGGGAGCTATCGTAACCCACGGAGGCGGTCCTCTAGTTAAGGGACCAACTAAAATTAACAGTACATATATGAACACCGCATACAGCGCATTGACCGGCTTGAACGTTATCATCGGTTTGTTCAGCTCCATGGCTGTCAACATGCCCGATTTTGGTAGATTCTCTAAGAACAACCTGGCCGGATACAACCAATTTTTCGCCCTTCCAGTTATTGGCACACTGGGTTCATTAACCCCAATTTTCGTAACATCAGCTCACCAACAGCTGCACGGCGAGTTTCAGTGGTACATGCCAGCCATCATTGCCAAGTTTGATAGCCGTGCCGCCAAATTCTTCACGGCAGCCAGTTTTATCTTGGCCACCATTGGAAACCAAATTGCTGGTAAGTATTCACACGTCCTGTTTATGAAAGCTTATTTTCTCACAATATTTGGCAGCGGGTACCTTCCCGTTCTCCAACGATGTTTCCGGTTTGGCTCCAAAGTACATCAACATCTTCCGTGCCACACTTCTTGCTGGCGTCTTTTGCGTGGTCTGCCAACCGTGGTTGATCATCAAGAATGCTGCGGGGCTTCTCGCTTTCCTGAGTGGCTACTCTTGTATGATGGGTCCCCTCGCCGGAGTTATCGTTTGCGACTACTGGATTATCAAGAAACAGCGATTCAATATTCGTGAGATGTACAAGGGAGACGGTATCTACTATTACACCCACGGGATCAACTGGAGAGCATGGACTAGCTTTTCAGTTGGCTTCCTTCCCACGTAAGTTCACTAATATCTCACTAAGTTTTCAATTTTAGCTAACACAAATCCCTTTTTATAGTCTTCCTGGCTTCGCCAAGTCCATTCAACCAACACTTAACGTCGGAGGTGCATGGAAAATCTGTAAGTCGCAACTACATTGCCATATAAATTTGAAAATAGAAACTAACAGTTTCTAGACACATTCGCATGGCTCTTTGGCTTCTCCGTATCCATGTTGGTGCACTATGTCATCAATATCTACATCTCGCCAGACCATCCTACATTGTTGGATGCTCCAGTTCTTCCACCTCAAATTGGAGAAGTTGTCGCATCTGACGAAGAGGCAGGAGTTGATAAATCTAGCCCCGTCTATAATGAGAAGGAAATAGAAGAGAAATAAAGATAACGATGACGTCTTGGTTTCATATTTCTTGTCGTCGTGTATTTTTGATATGATTATTGTCTAGGATCCTTACTTTTGAGTAGTCAGTTATGGTAGTATGATTTAATTTTAATATGAACACAATCATCTTCAGACCCAAATTTTATGAATAGGAGTACATTTCAGTATAAGTGTGCGATATGTCATCTAGGTTAGGCCGCGAAGCTAATACAGGAGGTGGAGTGGTGTATACCTATCAGGTATAGATATAATCTTACGGTTTTGGTATCTATATCTTAAAAAGATATTCTCAGGATGATTTAAAAGATAAAATACCTTTGATTCATTGACATTACAAGTTTATATGTAGCTTAGTCCTAGCGCTGCTGTATAATATAGGGAGAACACCTGTAGCATCAAGATTACTAGTCTCCCAGATTGACTACGATGTGAGACGAATTTAGAGAATTCTGGGCTTAAAGGGGCATTGAATGGGCGTAAAGGGAAAGAAGAAGAAAACAAAAACTAATTTTCTGGTGAGCTGGACGGACGAAAAGAAATATACATACTTCGTGAGGGTAAAAACTACCGTAATCGAGCGTCTCAAATGTATATAAACGCAAGCATGCCCACTCTCAGGTCGAGAACCGAATTTATTATTGTGGTACTTGCTAAAGTGCTCCGATCGATCGTGTCGAGTTTTTGGAAACCATTTACCACAGACTGGATATGTATTACCCTCTGCGATATCCTTGCACTCATTGAAAATCTTCTAAAGGGTTTCCTTTGCTGAATGCCGTTTACTCATCATGTTCTGGGCTGGCTTGCCCGCAGTTGAAACATGATAATTTCCAGCTTAGTGGCGAATGGGCCCAGGACACAATCATTGCATTTGAGACTGCCAGCTAGAAGCTCTCGCATGTTTTCGAAAGCAGCGATTAACTTTCGCCTTTCGGGTTTAACTCTTTAGACTTCATCGAGTGGTGCATTGATAAAGTCTCCTGGGAAGAGGACGTCGAAGGCTGCCTCTATTGCTTCTTCACCGACCTGTTTTCGGTTGCGTCAAAAGCAATGTTGACCTTATCGGGTACCAAGTCCTGTTCGAAAGTCTCTCGCAGCCTGTACACAAAGATTCTTACGCAGCACCTTTCTTATCTTCAATGTATTGTCAAACTCCGCCTTTTCATCAGGATCGATAAACCTTCCCAGCTTGCAGCTAAGAGCGGAAGATTCTCGGTGCCGTTAACCAGGATGTCATACTTGACCAGAAGGATGAGAATCAGATCTATCAACCTCGCATTGACTTTTTAGAACTATGGATCCTTCTAGAAAAATTTAATAGTAAATACCCCAAGTTTGTTCGCAGACTCAGGAACATGGTTAGCGATGGTTAGAAAGTTTTTCATACGAGTTAACCTTCTGGTTATTTTAATAATCCAGCTTTATAGTAGCAATATTTTCATCGCAAAGGCTGTATATGTTTATCCCATTAATTATTTACCTCTCTTCCTTAGGTGTGAGGAGAAAAGAATAAATCTCGCGATGGAATGAGTAAATAATTGAAAAGGCCCACAAATGTCTGCTTTCAATGTGTAGTGCCACAATAATGCATTGAAAGCTAACAGGATTAATAATTTATCTAAAACCCCGGCTTACTGACATGTGGCTTGTAAAAAGATAGGTATTTGTTAAGCTAACGGTTAATTAGTAAGATAGCTAGAAATTCTGAATATGCAATCCACTTCTCCAATTTGGTATAGTCTTTGAGGTTTCGTTTCTTACGTTGAATAACAAAAAAATAAATGCTATAATCAAATCATCAAGGATTTTCCTTGATATATTTGTAGGTAAAAAATGTCGAAGGTTAGGCACTGCAAAACCTAATTATATATATACCTCTTTCTCGTCGGGATATCCTTGTCCCCCGATCCACTTCAATAAAACCTTTAAGTAAAGCTCACGAGCCAGGAGCTTGATTAAGAAATTGATATCTTCCTAATAGAGATATTACTTTATAGTGCTTATTAGTAGCTAAAAACTTAGCTTGAGGATTAAAAATAACACTATTTTAAAACTAACATACAATTGTAATTTAAAATTAGTGTTAAAGGTTTGGGTAAGTTTGATTTACATAACTAATAAAAGCTCTTTGGGCTGTGGTAGAATTTTCGGAGATTAAATCCTATACTTATTTACATATGCTGCCCGGCAAGATAGTGGATTTGATTGTTTGGTTCTCATGACCAGTGAATATAAATATCGAAAGAAGTATCCAGTTTATATGTCGCCTAGGTGCTGATGGCAGTCTTTTTGTTATACAAGTTGCTAAACTTTTAGTTGGTATTAATTCTTGCCTTTAATTCCTGTATAGTCCAGGTAACTAAATATTTTTTTGGGAATTTTTAATGAGGGTTTCCGCCTATAATTGAAGAGAGATTCAACGGTTGCTCGGGGTTTTGGATTTATTATTTATTTTCCAGAACCGCTCGAAATCCCCTGTCCCTTCTATGATCTTCATAATCGCCTCATATTCTTCTTTTATCTGATTATATCCATCTTTGTCGCCTTTGAATGCGGTATACTAAACATGGAGGCCCCTATATCCGCTTTGGCTTGATCTAGAATGGGGGTGTTTTTTGTCAAGACTCTTGATTCGTTCGGGACGATGCTCGAGGCCTGTAAGACGCCGTTTAGGCGCATATTTAGGAGGCATTTGGATTGACGACGAGACGTTAGAAATACAGTCAAGCGATGTGAGGCCATATCAGAGCGTACTACTTATTGTAAATACCAGAGGGATATAAGATCAAATAGAAATAAATAAATAAGATGAAAGTGAATAGTGTTTAAAGTGTAGGGCTGGGAGACGTGTAACCCTTCAAAGCGTTGAAGAGATTGTATTCAATCTTGATGGTACTGTATTAAGAGGGTTTATGTTTATATTTCAGTGGAGAGTTATGGTGAAACATCGATATTATGTTATTGAATCAACTCCAATATTTCACGAATGTGTTGGCTAAGAGGTGAGTTAGAAATATCACACTATCAAAGGTGTTGTCTATTATTGTTAATTGTATATGAGTACTTTTTACTAATCTTAGAGTATGAACAGCCATCCGATATGGTGTAGTGGCTAACATCGTTCGCTTTCACGACACCGGGAGTCAATCCTGGCATCGGATGAGCCGAACAGCCCCGGGTTCGATTCCCGGTGTCGGAATAATTCTTTTGATTCTGTTTTTTTCTACCTTTCCCCTTTATATCTGATGCTATGTAAAAGAGTTTCAAATTTCGTCTTTTTTACAAAATTTACTTCATGCTATACCCTTGCATAGCTCATTTTCAATGGATAGCCCAGTGCAAGACGATGATATAAAGCTTGGAAGTTTGATTTATCAAACGCGTTTTGCCCTCAAAACCCAAACAACACAAAAATAGGTGTCACGAGTATCGAACAGTACGAACATTGCACATATAAACAAAACAAGAACGAAAAAGTCCCAAAAATTGCCTTCATGAATTCGTGGTACATTCGGACCAGGACTAAGTACGTAAGGTCAACTTTATTAGAATTTGGCTTTCGTTTTAGCACAACTTTCAGGTGGTGAACTGGATTGGGCAAAGAAGGCCTTGTCCTGCGCCTAGATGTCCGAGTCTTCTGCTCTTACCTTTGCAACATTTCAGGCTGTCATAGAAGGCATGACAATCCACCAGCTTAGTCAAGAGGATATCCTTCAAACCTGTATTTTAACTTTGAGACGCTGAGACCGTGGTTTTGGCGTTACTATCGATTTTGCAACAAAAGTAGTGCGTCTCGTCATAGTACTACGACATGGATTTTGACTAGTCGTTAGCGTTCCTTGTCAACTTCTCCGGTTTTAAGCTGCTCCATTCGCATTTACAATCCGGTTACGCTCACTGGCCAGTTTGGCAATGATATTTATGGGGTATATGATACTCAGAATAGCTCGTTGCAATATTGCTTCGGTTGAATCTCATAAGCAAAAAACATTCATATGCTACTTAGGATTTGGGTAAAACGGTATATCCTTCAAAGGCCTAGCACAAAGTGTTGTTCTCTTCGTAAGCTCTCACCAATAGCAGATAAATTTGTACGTAGATGTATGTTGGAAACATAGGTTCAGATAATACATTAGAAGGAAGTGTGAAAAATATAGTACCGAGAGACTAGTGACATAGAAAAATCTTGGAAAATGAGTCCTCAGACTGATACTAGAATCCGGTGCTGATACTTTTTATTACAGTGTCTGATTAACATCTAGTTGATAGATCGTCGAGCCTCACTCTCACTTCTATAATGTAACGTTCCGCTAGCACGAGTTTCTCGAAAAACTGCAAAATTCAGTACGAAACGTCAACGCGCCATACTAGCGTAATAAGGATCAAATTTATTCATATTAAAAGATAAAAAGGGTAAACGGGATTCTAACTATTGTCGCAACGAATTAACAGAAGTTTCGGTTGCCCAAAATAGGATTGTTTGCATGTGCCCACTTGATAATTCTCCGAATGATCCAGATGAGGTCACAACAATTTCTCAGTCGGCTATTCTTTGCTGTCATCGGTGGCAGTCATGTGATTGAAGTCGCTGGTATTTCTACATCTGGTTTACGAGACAAGCAAAGCCAGCGAGATTCTAACGACCTTGTGTCATCTAGAGTCTGTAAACTCCAATATGTTCGCTGAGTGCGAGTATCACGAGTGAATGTAGTGAAGCGCTGACATTGTTCTGCAAAAACTAAATAGACGAAAGGGACCTGGCTGCAGGAGCGCATGAGACATTCACTCCACTGTTTCTCTGTGATCTTGCCGTCGCTTTAACGTTAAATAAACGGACATGACCGTAGCCCTGCTCTGTTTCTCTGTTTCGCGCGAAAAGATGTCAGCATGATATCAATGCAGGTTCGCAGCCAATAGCGTAAACAAATCCCCATATTACCAATTCCGGGGTCGAGACCATGACGAAAAAATTCTCTATTGGGTAATTTTGACCCACAACTTTGGCAGATGCCGGAATCATGATTTCTGGCTGGGGCTGAGGACCTTCGACATTTGCTTGCGACAAATCGTCAGCAACGTCAGACAGATGGCTTTTGCCACATGCATTGTGCATTGATTTTAGTCTTGGATGCAAAATCCTTCTTGTCACATATAAATACTCAAAGATTCCGTTCTTAGACTCATCACTAGACTTCAACTACACATGCACGACATCAAAATCTTAGACGCCGTATCGTAGATTCACACACCCTATCCGGAATTCGGGCGTCCCTGCAGCTATTGGGACTGGTAGAGGAACTGTATAACGGAAGCGGCCGAGCTAAATTCAAATGGCTAGCTTGTTGACCATTCCGACAGAAGTCCGACTTTTAGTGTTGGAGCACCTTCTAGTCTCGCCATTTATCTCGGAGGAAACTGGAAACCCGGAAGTATGGCCATACCTAAGGGACGCCGTCTTGGCCACGCGCACGGAAGGATTGCATCTACTATACCCTCAGGTGTTGAGAACATGCAAGAAAATTTACGTTGAGGGGATCAAGCTCCTGTACTCGAAAAACAGAATCTGCATTTACCCACCGAGCATCGCTGCTTCTGACGTTGATGTGGGTTCCGACTGCCTCTCACAAGCACTGCGGTTTTTGCGGGGAATCGGAAAGAACAATTCAAGCCTGGTTCGCCGGCTGACGATTGGTGGAGGTTCTGGTTTGCTTCAAACAGAGCATCTTAAGGAGTGCTTCCAACTCGCTACCGGACTGGGCGACCTGAGGCTGCTCACGCTTGGCCCGCGTTGCAAGGCACCGTACAGCTTCATGCTGCAGTACTATCTCAACGTCCAAGCTGCCTCGAAGGCCTCCTCAACGGCATTGACGTTGATCTCCAGCTCCGTTCCGAACGGGTTCGTACCGGAGGGATTCGGTTTTATTTATCTCAGGTTTCAACAGGAAGGCTCGCGATTAGATGGCGATGTGAGGGTCGGATTGGATGATTCTATCGTCTATTTTCGAGAGAAGGTGCGAGAGCAGGAACGTGAATGGGCGAAACAGGGCTGGAACTGTAAGTTCATGCATCCAAATACTTCTCACATAGAATTTTCTCCGACCGGACGGAAGGGTTAACTCTGCTCTGTGAACATAGTACCGGTAATGTTCGAATCTAACCACGGAATAGTGTCGTTTGTATAAAAATGAGAAGGATGTGTTTGCTGGAACCAACATTTGGCTTTGGTGTCCTTCACTGTCGATAGAACCTTACGTCGGAAAGGGGATAAAAGCAAGAGTAATGTTTTTCGTCGCACGGGCGATATGATGTCAACTGTGATAGGTTCAGTTGACTTGAACGGCATTGGAAATGGAAAATAGGCGTTCAAGGAGGAGAAAATGGTCAACGGAGTTGGGATAGCTTTAATTGACTCGCATTATACATATTATTGAATCTGAATACTAAACATAAAAAAGAGAGAGACCGGACCAAGCAAATCTGGTTGAAAACTAGAAAATCGAAATACCGCTGTTCGCGCGACCCCATGCTAGTTTGAATTCGGCCTTCGTCCAGAAATTTCAAACCTTGAGGAGCGGCAACTTCGGGATATATGCAAATATACGCGAGCTGCCTGTAACCTCCTCGTTTCGAAGCCGAGTCGCCGGCTGCACCTTCTGAGTCCGTTCCTGCCGTTATTAATATCACCGACGGTCCATGCAGTTACCGAAATCACATTTTCCCTCTTTTATCTTTGTTCAGCAATCTGGTAACATGGAAACGCTCTGATCGTTTTTCGCAAATCGACATGTGTGACACCCTGCCTTGCCAGAGTGTGAAGTACCGATCTGGCGCATGCCATGGAGATATCCTGTTCCCCCCACAGTTTTGAACCTTGTCAACCTCTTTTAGCCTGCAGCTGACCCCACCAAACGAACCCCCTTTGCTTCTTCCTCCCACGCAGAACAGTCCGAAGCCAGACACTTGGGGGTTTCCCATTATCATCATCTATTTGCAGATTGGGCTTAGTGCCTGGTGGGACGACATGCTCTGCGCACCCGCCATCAGCTAAACACCTTTCCTATCATTGGGCCCTTCCGACTTCTTATCTATCAACCTCTTTTGTTGGCTGCCTCGAAATTTTTTAGTTTCCACCAAGCCTGAGTCGAATGCAGCCAAAGCAGATAGCCTTTTATCGTTCTGCGTCAAGAAGCATCTTGTGCATGCGAGGTAGCGCACTAGCTTGCGCGTTTTTTTGCACGTCGAACCCAAAAATATGTCATTCCTTCTGTCTTGCTTCCCGTTCCCCTGCTTAGCCTTCGGATGATATGGGTTTCATTATGTTCTGCCACCGACAAGCAGGCCTTGATATCCAGATCGCCCCATTGGTTATGAAGCCCAAACCAGTTTGTTGACACATGCATTGGATTTCCTGCATCTTCAGTCCAATCTACGACACCAGATCTCTCAATTAAAACCCTTATTCGGGATATACCTGGGTCCCTTGGGGCTTTCTTATCAGTTCGTGATGGTAAACCTCTGGTGTAAAATCTTACCTTTTTAACCGCGATATCAAATACATTGACACTTGAAGCTTGTCAATCGGTCAAGATTCAGGCACCTGTCGCCCCACAGATGGAGTTACAATGGTAAACTTGGGGTTAGCCAACAAGCCAAGTACCGCAAACCCAACCTGGCCGTGAGTTTGTAGGCTAGCTAGGGCGATTCGCTTGGGGTCCTCGGTTTTGTCTAAAATTTTTAGAGAAATGAATAGAAGGAAAAAAACAAAGAAGAAGAAGAAAGAAGAAGACTTATTGATTCCAGACTCTTTTTATTCGAATCAGAACAGGAATGTGACTTCATAGAGTTTTTCTTTTTAACCAGATTTCTTTCCTCCCTAAAGCAGATATTGATCACGTTCTGAGGACACCTTACTATTCCAATAATATTTTTTTTTCTTACTCTCTTCGTCTTGATTGAGCTCCAGTCCAGTGGACCCCGTAACAAGTTGATCTTCGGCGACTGCAGCCTCATCAAAGAGGCCCTCATTTGGCCGGACCCTGGGTTTTTTGCCCTTTCGAAACTGTTTCCATCCTGACATTGCATTGCAGCTTTAATTGGACCCCGAGACAGCCAAGGGCCGGGCTCGAACCACAAGAGGAAACATTAATCAACCACGGCAAGCGTGTATCTGGTTGGCAGTTGAGCTTTATCAGTTTATCT